GAAAGAGCGCCGGGGGCAGGGGGGGGGGGGGGGGGGGGGGGGGGGGGGTGCCCATAAGGAGGGTCCCTCTGGCCGAGGCTCGGCGCGGGGCGTGACGCGTGCGCGGCCGGCCGTCGGCGGGTGGGCACCCCGGGGGCCGGCAACGTACCGGGACCATTGCAGTGGACGCTGGGGATGCGCTGCTCGGCGCGGGCAAGGGCCAGGGCGGTGGCCAGGAAAAGCAGGAGGGCCGTGCGAGCACGCCATCCTGCGTGACCAGGAGCCCGGGGGAACATCGGTGCGCTGCTTGGTCTGGCGCCTGCTGCACGCGGTGTCGATGTGTCTCGGGGGCGTGGGGTGGATGGGGGTGTGCGGGTGGACTGGAAGGGGTGTTTCGTGGATGGGGGCCTTCTCGTCGACGGAGCTAGGACCGGGGAGGCAGACTGGAGGTCGAGAAGGGTGACGCAACTGCTTGGCACAGGATCGCTAGCACCGGCGGTCCTTTTATACCCTCCCCGCGCCGGGATCCCTCCCTGGCTGGGGGTCGAGCAATAACGATATCTCCCAAAGGCAGTTCGAGGGGCCGCTTCCTCGGAGTGCAAGTCCCTGCGATGCCAATGACATCCACACCGGCAGCCGGAGTGGTGGGCCGGCCCGGCGCGTGGCCCGGCCCGATTGCAGCCCTGCCCGATGGGGGACCGGGGACCGGAGTCCTGCCCGTGCCGGTCATCCCCGCGAGTCGGGGGCGTCCCCGGGTGCCCCGGAGGGCGCGAGGCAGCCCGGATCCCGGGCCCCGAGCCAAGGGCCCATCGGCCGGGGCCATCCGGGACGGCTGGTCGGCCCAGCGCCGCCCGGCCGGGTCCATGTGTCCGGGGGAGGCCCCGACACCGAGGGGTCCGGATCTAATTGGCACACCCGGCGGCCCTGGGTGCGATGGTTGTTGGTGGACCGGGTGTGATTGGGATCGAGGGGGGATATTAAGTCCAGGCTCGAGCCCGGCAGTCGCCCTCCGGCTGCCGGGCCTCGGGGAGCACCCTGCCCACCGGGGCCGGGCTGCCGCGTGCCTCGGCCCCGGTGCCGCCGGCAGGACGCCCGCCCGGTGGCGTGGGCTTCCCTCGCCCATTCGCCTCCGGACTGGCGAGGGGGCAGGCCCGTTCCGCGCATGCCCCCCTCTCCCCCCCCCTCTCTCCCCCCCCCCCCCTCCCTCTCTCTCTCTCTCTCTCTCGCTTTCTCTCCTTC